ATCACCGAAAAATATTTTACAAGTTAGTTATGGTAAAATTTTATGTCCGAACTGTGTACATATGTGCAATCTTTTATTTCTTACTCATGATCATTACAAAGGTAAAAAATGAATAGCAGTGCTTAATATAATAGATGTGAGTAGCCGGTTTAAAACTTTAGTTTCACTTACATCAAAAAAATCTAGTGAGGTCATCAAAGCATTCAGGAAAATTTATGATAACCCTAATAACCCCCTTATCTATTCTCAATTGCTACAATGTGATGATGGGACGAAATTCAAAAAATTAATAAGTCAACTAATGGAAGCGCATAATATCACGATTCGAGTAATTGGTATTTATAGTTATCGTGAATTAGCTCTTGTAGAATGATTCAATAAGACGTTAGCAGAGATGCTTTATAAAATCCAATATGCCATTGAATCAATATCTAAAAATCCTAAATTAATAAAAGAGTGGGTCAAGTATTTGCCAGAAGTAATAGATTATCTTAATAATTATCCAACACGTCTTATTCGAGCTCCAGGTTCATCAAAATGGAGTTTAGCTCCAGCAAAAGTTATTAAACTGGAACGAGTAGAATCTAGGTCATCTACAAAGTATAAGCATCCTGTTGGAAAGGATGAGAAAAATAAGTTAAAAAAGGAAGGCAGTGTTTGTTACCTACTTGCTAATGCAGAGTGGGAAGGAGATATGGAAAATCAGAAGCGTACAACAGACCCAATATTTTCACTTTCTATCCATAAAATCTGAAAAATCGTGGTAACGAAGAATATACATGTTCCCAAAATTGATTTTAGATTTTTGAAGTATTTCGACTTTTTGAGATTTATACAAAATCTATTCTATATATAGAAGTAAAAAAAGTACCCAGTTATATGTATCTTTAATCAAAGAATAAATCTGAGTGGTCAAAAAATTTCGGGTTTTAAGTAAAATAATTTCGTCTTCTATGAAAAACTATTTTGACTTTTTTTTTCGAAATTGTAATTTCGGGCCCCCAAAATAATTTTGCGTACAAGTATAACGAAGAATGAACCTATTTTATATTACTTAGAAGGTGATGAGTTTACACCAAAGCAGGGTTCGTGAGAGAGGAGCTTATACAAGTATTTTCAGAAAAAATTGAGTACCCGCCGCAGAGTATATTAGAAGAAACTACACACTCCAGATCTGTTAATTTCGTTCGGGCTATTAATAAAATGACTAAGGCCCAACAATATGCCAGGAAGTGTGGTGGTGAGTGTTTAGAAAAATCTGGATGAATAAATAATCTCGATATATATCTCTGGACATGTAAAAATAGACTCCATCAGTTTGAATATCCATTAGAAGTATTAAAGCGTAAATTCGAATGGTGCCCACTTTGTCCACACACCCGTGAAAGAAGTTGTAGATATATTTTTGAAAATCTGTTGGATAAGAAATTCCCACCATGCGTACCAAAATTCTTGGGTGGATTAAGACTCAATGGATATAATGAAGAACTAAAATTGGCGTGGGAGTTCCAGCATTTTTATTGCAACAGTTTATATCACAAAAATCAAAACGACTTAGATTCACAAAGGGCACGTGATCAAAAAAAGCAAGTGATATGTAATCGAGAAGGTATAGATCTCATATTAGTACTATTTGATGTAGATCTTCTGCCATACATAAAAAGTGAATTGCAAGAGAGAGGTTATTTATCGCATAAAGAATAATCCTGCAAAGGTCATTGTTTTTCGATATAATAATTTAGCATTATTTATCTTGATTAGGATAAAAATAGAAAAGCTTGATCCATGTGAAATATCTGTACTTAATATTGACGAATACAAAAATCTGGAAAAATTCAACAGATTAAATAGCGTGCACCAATGGCCTTTCAATGTATTGGTCAGTGTGCAAACTAGATCAGGAAAAACAAACATGATTATTAGTCTCTTACTTGGGGATAAAATGTTTCGAATGTTTAGTGAAAAAAAGGGTGGAACAAGATATATTAAGAATGATGATTTGGTTTTGATCGGACATCATCTTAAGGAGTTGAAATATAGATATTTGCGTGATTACTATAATATTATTGCAAATAGTTCCAAATTATATCGTGAAGATGTTACATTCCAAGCAATGAAACCTGATAAAATACTAAAGATAGAAGAATTTTCTCCTGAGAAAGAAACAGTTGTTATATTCGAAAATGTATGTACCGAACTTAAAAAAATACAAAAAAAAATTGCTCGTTACTTTACTGAAGGACAATACTCTAATATTAGTACTATATATATTACACAATCATTCTTCGACTGTCTAAAATTAATAAGAAAAAATCTCGATTATATAGTTCTCTTCAATGGTAGCGGTACATATGATGAACTAGCTAATATTGCTAGGCAATACACAAAAAATTGGCATAATGTCGTTAATATACTTGATAAAAATCTACAAGGTCAGGAATTCATTGTAATCGATTTAACCAGAGTGAAAGAGGATGCTCATTATATAAGGAAAGGCTGGAATACCCCTTTAAAATTAAACGAATAAAATGAGATACAGTGATATACTCACTATTTATTATTGGACTTCAGACTGCAAGTAATTTTTTCACTTTTTGCAATTTTAATTTCTGTTGATTAATTTCACTGCGCAATTTATTATTAGCATTAATTCATTCCTCAAGCTGTTTAGTGATTTCTTGTATAAAAGAGCCAAAAGTTTTTTCATTATATTCAAGCAATTGTAGGGATAAACTATCTAACTCTTTCTTAATGTGATAATTAATTTCTTCCTCACATGCAAAGCAAGGGTACTTATGTACCTGATTACAGGTCAGGACAGTATCTTAGGTTTGAGTTTCCTGATTAGTCATGATTATATTATATGATAAATTTTCAAGTGGTGTTGGGCTTTGACGCTGACGTTCTTTTTTCTTATTATAAACTATAATTTCATGTTGCAAAAAATCTTCAATACCTGGGTCTATACCACATGCTTCTAATTCTGTCAGTGGATTGCGCTTTCTTGTAGTTAAATGTTTTCACGATTCTTCAATTAAAGAAGGCAGTAACTGCTTTATTAAATCTATATATGCTCGATTGAATTTCATTTGATACACCGAGTCAAAAATTCTGTTGAATTCTATAGAATCCTGAAAAGTTTGTAGCTTAAAACAAAAATAGTGTGAAATCCGTTATATGTATATTATTTACCAAAAGCAATTGCAAAGTACCTATATATTAAATAATAATTTGACCGGGACTTTCGAGTCCTTTATTTATTGTTAAACTATAATTTGATCCAATACATACTGTACGTTTAAAATTACATAAATTTAACAAAAAAAATGTTACCAGCCCTCAAGGGCAATGAAATAAAGTCTAAAGTACCAGCCCTCAGGGATACCTCAGATGGTTTTATTTTAAAGATATATATATATATGAATAAGTTATATAATAAATAAATAGATATATTAATTGGATAAATAGATATGTGTATTATACATTGTTAATTTGATGTATTTCTTCTCTAACTGCCCATAATAATTTGTAATGCTTGGCTAACTGCGTAGCACACATACCTTCAGGTTTGTAGAAAATTTCTAACCATTTCTGTTATATGACCTTTGTAGCTCGAATCCTTTTACCAGCTTCTCTAGTATGTTCAATTTTTCTGATAACATTTTGCATCTACAATTTATATCAATATAATGCATACATATCATCAAAATTATATGCGGAATTGGATTTTTGCTTGATTTTCAAATATTCATCGTGATTTATACCACAGTATTTATTACCGGAACATGAAAATTTCCAATGTCTCTCCATTCCTATATGATTATAATTACCTATATTTGCAGTCCGTTCTCCAGTATATATTAACTGGTCACAAGAGAAGCAAATTGCTAATCCGATTTCAGGAGCATATGTACCTAGAGTAAGGACTAGTACCAATTTCCTAGCTTCAAGATATTTTTTGCTTTCAGTAGACAAAAGATCATTCTTTCTGAAATACTATAAGCGAGGCCAAATTCGATCCATCCACTCACTGGGAGTTTTATTATCACGAACTTGTGTCATTTTACAATATTCATACCATTTATTATCGGTACAATTGGTTCCACGTAAATCACTTACATTAACCATTTTATATGACTTATTTGTAGTGATTATGGAAGTTATATGTAATTTATATCGTATTTAGGGAATTTAGACCTATTAGATTTAATAACTTATATACTCTAGAATATGTGATTCAATTTTAGTGCGATTTGATTTTGAAACCATTTCTTCAAGAATATTGTATTTTGCAAGGAATAGATGTCGATAATGAATCATTATTTTCTATTTGTCGATATGCCTCAAAGAGATGTCCCTGAAGGGCCAGATTTTATAGATTTCGATTCCTATAAACAAGATACATATGAAATTAACAAATGATAGCTATGGTAGATCATGAAAGGAGATTCTATTCAGACATATAGTTTATAATAACTTGTATAACTTGGCATTTTCGCTAAAATAATTAACCTATCATGTGATATGTGCTATAGAAAGAATTCGAATGTAATGCTTTGCACGGGTTTTGCCCGATAGAACCTGCATACATCATCTGGTCATGCGATATATTGATAACATGTATCACAGAAGAAATTCGAAAACTATAATGCATGTGTAATGCACCTGTGAAGTGCAAGATAACCAAATTCGATAAATTAACACATAGCACGTTCTTTGTAAGATTTTTTAGCTCCTGAAGCAGTATACGCGTTATTTAAGGGAAAACTACGTGTTTAAGGGTTCGCATTTTTTTACGATTCTTATACTTTTTCTTACACCTCAATCTTATATTTTTTACTAAGTTTTTTTGTATTAACATGTCTGACCTCAATAAAAAATATCCCGGCTACGAAGAACTTATGTCTTATTTGACGCGACATAAAAATAAGTCTTTCTGAGGTTTTCTACTTCGCTGTCGGGATGCAATCGTTACTATTACCTCAGCTACTTCTATCTGGATGGATCTCGATAATCTTTGGGCAGGTCGTTTTATAAGTGAAGCAACTAAATTTGGTGCTGCTTTGGGACCACAGGTGTGTTTTTTTTTATTTTGCGAAGCTAGGGCAACTCCTTAGTCAATCATATACTTGCCTAGGAGAATTACTGGGTATGACTGCTTGGTATCCACTCCAAGTTCTCTATTCAGGCGCCCTAACTTTGTCGTTGGTAAAGGTTTGCGAATTCCGGAGAAGGAATTGGTTATGTGTCTTCCTTTTGGGACATGCCGTTTATTATCTGATTTCTCTATACTATAGGGTTCGCCCTAAACCATTTGATTTTTGGCATGTCCTTATCACTAAATAGAAAATTGCACACTGTTAACATTGATAAATGTTTTTCTTACAATAGGTTGGTTTAGAACGAGAACGTAATAACTTGGAGGCTTATTGGAACAAAGTGATTGATGCATGCAAAATAGTAAGTAAACCACTTATTTTTCATTTATATATCAGCTTTAATATTATTAATAATTATTCTTCTGGAATTAGAAACAAAACATCTTGGCCTATGAAAAAGAAAAAGAGCGCATTCAGCTTGAACATTTGCGCAAACTTAATGAAATCGATAAAAAAATAGAAACTGAGAATATCGAATTAATTAGAAATTCAAATAAATGGAAGGATGGGAATTCGGTTAATGAAGAAGATTTTTTACAAGATAATGGCGGTTCTAGTTATGATACTTTATACGATGATATCGATGTTAACGACGACGGCAATGATAACAATAAAAATGATAAAAATAATAATGATAATGACAATAATAATAACAATAGCAATAATAATGACAATAACGGTAATATCGACAATGTCGACGAAGATAATAATAACACAACAATATCGTCATCATCATCACCAGCAATAGCAACAACATCAACAACACCACCATCACATAATTATAATCTTCGCCATAAAAGAAAAAGTAAATACGATCGTGAACCTGTAACTAAAAAACGTCGT